AATGTCATATTTTGCCATTTTGTCTCTTAGTGTACATGCCCAGGCAGTTTCTTCTCCCTGGCATCTGGATTCATTTAACACTTTAATGTTAACAGCTGTGGATCACCTCCCTGGTGCTCTGGGTAGGCTACCACATTATCATTTTTAGAGAGGCGGTGAGATAATTGTCCAACCATCACCTGACATTCCTAGTGGGTGGGTGGAGAGCCCTCTCCTGCCTCACTCATGCCTATCTAACTACTTGTAACAATACTTAATACAAAGTAAAATCCACCTACTGGAGCATATATCCCTTCACAGGGGATGCAAGACTGCTAGCTTCCCCCATTTTTAAAAATTATTTTTTAATTGACAAGTGAAACGTGTACATAGTGATGGTGTACAACATATTTTGATATATGTATACAATGTGGAATCACTAAATCAAGCTAATTAACATATGCATCACCTCGCATATTTTTGTGTGTGTGTGTGTGTGTGTGTGTGTGTTGTGAGAAGCCAAATTTATTAACTTTTTCATTTATAGCCAGTGATTTCTGTGTTCTGCCTAAGAAATATTTGCCTACTGCAAGGTTGCAAAGATTCTCTCTAATGTCTTCTTCCAGTAGTTCCTTGGTAAATTTTAAGTAATTTTATGGTATGGTGTAAAGGTCAAGTTCCTTTTTCTTTTGAAAACAATTTTTGTTTTTCTTTCTTTCTAAAAATCCATGGGATTTTGGAAGGAGAAAGAATCTGGACGCAGCAATGGGAAGCACTTGCCTCACTGCCTGGCCGTGACATAAATGGAACATTGTATGTCATACAATGATATACACTGAGGGGGCAAAACTTGCGGTTAAAAGAAATATCTGGGAATACAGTGGTGCTTGCTGAATCCAGATGGTTCCATGCTACATGGGGAAAGGGCTCAAGGGGGCAGTGAGGGTGACCACTGGAGCAGATTAAGGGCTATAAGGAGCAGGGTAGGTTATTCACAGGGGTTATTATATTATCTGAAATTTACATTAAAATACTTGGCAATGAAAGTGTGATATATATTTGTGTGTAAATTAATTTTTACAATCTAAATAGTTAACATTTGATGTAATATACAGCACATTAGCATAAGGGATGTTAGATATTTTTCACTGGTGAAATGAGGGGTACTTAATACATGCAGATGGGCTTGAAAACTGTGCTGATACTTCCGCCCTTCATGGACAGAGTATAAGAATTAGTGAACATTGGATATGACTAGGTGACCTCTTTGAATCTCAATTTCCTTCTCTGTAAAATAGGAAAAATAATATCTATCTCCTAAGGGATATTGAGAGGAATGATATGACACACCCAGCTCTAGGCTTGGCATTTAATGATTGTCCCACCCAGGTTAATTTGTTCCTTTTCCTTCTACTTTTTTTTTTTTTTTACTGTAGTACTTACAGCTCCTGATTTTATGTCACTTAACACATTCTCAAAATTTTGAGTCCCCATCTCAACTCTCTTGCTAGACACAGTCTTGAAGCTTAACTAATGCTGGCCTCCCTCTGAAGATCCCATGGCAAAGCTCATCAAATCTTAGTGTACCCAATCACCTGAGATGCTTTTAAAAATGCAGATTACCATGCTGCTATAAAGACACATGCACACATATGTTTATTGTGGCACTATTCACAATAGCAAAGACTTGGAACCAACCCATATGTCCATCAATGACAGACTGGATTAAGAAAATGCAGCACATATACACCATGGAATACTATGCAGCCATAAAAAAGGATGAGTTCATGTCCTTTGTAGGGACATGGATGCAGTTGGAAACCATCATTTTCAGCAAACTATCGCAAGAACAGAAAACCAAACACCGCATGTTCTCACTCATAGGCGGGAACTGAACAATGAGATCACTTGGACACAGGAAGGGGAACATCACACACCAGGGCCTGTTGTGGGGTGGGGGGAGGTGGGAGGGACAGCATTAGGAGATATACCTAATGTAAATGACGAGTATTAATGGGTGCAGCACACCAGCATGGCACATGTATACACATGTAACAAACCTGCACGTTGTGCACATGTACCCTAGAACATTAAAAAAGAAAAAGAAAATAAATAAATAAATAAATAAAAATGCAGATTACAAGGCCCTACCTTAAAAACCTGATTCTGTATGTCTGTCTGGGTGTGGTCCAGGAATGTGCAGTATCATTGAGCACCTCTGGCTATGATGAATTAGGTGGTTAAGACCACTCAGAGACACCTGGGATGTGAGAAAAACTTGTTTCAGAAATCCTACAACTGCATTTTCTTCAAATTTGAGTTGAGACCCAAACAAAGACAGCTGACCTAGTTCTCCAGTGCCATGTGGAGGCTGGACTCAGCTGACCCAGGCCTGAAGTCAGTCCATCACCCTTGTTACATGTTTCTGCCCTTTTGGGTGACATGAAAACATCATTTTTGCTGGTCCAGCAGCAATCTCTTATTTTTCTGGTAACCACCTGGATTTTCCCCACTCTTAGTCCAAAGTTTCAACGAAGGCTAATCCCTTTCCCCACCATGAAAATGAAGGTCAGCCTCTCAGACATTTACAAGAACAAGAAAGAGGAACACTCTTCCTGCAGAGATACTAAACTACTAGGAACCTAAGTCTGGAGCTGCCTACTTCACTCTTACATAGAGTGCCTACTTGAGAATGAAACTAGAGAGATGGTGCCCTGTGACATTGTTAGGCCCCTGGGGTTCTTGGTAATGAGTTACTAATTCTCTTTTTGCTTTACGTCAGTTTAAGCTAGAATTTCTCCTTGCAACTGAAAATTCTAACTAATACACAGAGCCTCTACATTTCTCTGCACAAATGAACCCTTCCTCTCTGGGCAGTCCCAAATAATTCCCCTGTACCTCACTCTTCTCAAAGAACGTCACCTCCTTGCCACAACTGCAGGGAACCTGCTCCTTGGGACCAGATCCAGCCCACTTCTCTCTCTTCCTTGCAGGGAAAAAAAGCCCTTTTCCTTTGAGGCTCATGTTACAGAGCCCACTGTTCATTACTACTGTCTTCATTACTTAATTCGTTTAAGACTGACACCTGTTATTGTCTCTCTTTCCACCCTAGCTCTGCCATCATTCCAGATGGATCTCATCATTCATTTAATAGCCTATAATCATAGTTCATGTAGCATTCACTACACACCAGGCACAGTTCTAAGCATTTTACATATATTTTAGTTCACTCAACCCTTACAATAGCACAAGCTATTATTATGCCCACTTCTCAGATAAGGAAACTGAGGCACAAAAAGGCTATTTAGACTTGCCTAGAGTTACCCAGTCATGAAGGGATGAGGACAAGGGAGTCAAATTGCAGAGTCCAGACTCTTAACACATACTCTGGCCTCCCAGTTCCTTATAACTGTACCATCCTCCACATCTACTCTGCGTTGGTTCTGTGGAGGTTAGGGAGAGGGAGTACCTCCTTCACTGAGTCACTGAACATTGAGGATGGCCTGCATTGCCCCTTCCTGTAACTCAATGATTTGTTGTCATCACCTATGCAAATTCACCAACAAACAGATAAAGGCCAGGAAGCTAGGATGCAGCTGAACTGAAAACCCAGCAGCAGAAAAGCAGGTTATAGATTCTGCTATGGGTGCTCCATACAGCTCCTTCCTCTCTGCCCCAATAACCTCCCTCTCTTTGGGAACGTTGCTGCATTGAGGGCAGTCTGTCTTCCCTCCCTCTAGGGCTGTCTTTAGAATGTGTCCCTTGCCTATATCCATATTCATGCTCCGTGCTCCTCAGCCCCCTAGAAACTTTGCACAATAGGTTCAAAACCTCTGGTTTCCTCCCTTCTTCTGTCTGAAAGAGCAAAAGAAGGAAGCCAGGGGTTCTAGGGGGTAGCCAGGCAGCAATTTCACCACCCCTAGGCAATCACACCTAGTTGCAGCTTCACTGGGAACAGCTCAGCTCTAAAAATACATACCTGGGACTCTCCCTCCCAGCCTTCCAGCTCTCGTTCCTGTGAGCAGCTTTTCAACCTCCACTTTCAGCCGCTGACAGGCCTTCCTGGTGCCACAAGGTCAGCTAACATACCCACCTTCCACAATCCCCAGCCCTGCCAGACATAACCTGCAACAGGCATTCCTGGATCAATGCAAACTCCGACTTCTGTTCCAGGAGTCTGCCTCCGTTAGAAAAAAACTCACACAAATTTGCGTGCTGTCCCACTGTAAATGCTGTATAAGATGGCCAGGCCCAATCAGTCCCCGCAAGACACCGAATAAGAACTATCTATGGAGTGTTTACTATGTGCCAAGCACGGTCCTGATCACTTTGCAAGCACTATTAACCCTCAAAATAACACCACCGTGAGATTGAGACCATCATGATTCGCGTTCTACAGAAGGGAACACTGAGACTCCAGGAAGTCAGGACCTTTCTAGGGTCACAACTGCGTAACTAAGCTGCAGAGCTCAATCCGGCGGCACTTCCATCTCACACGCAGCTGTCTGATAGTCAAGAGCCCAACCAGTCCCCCGGTCGTTTCTACCTCACTAAACCGCTGTGTCAAGCTGGAGCAGCGGGTTCAGCAGTGAAAATGAAAGAACAGAAGGAGGTTAGAGAAAAGAACGGTCACGGTAAATTCTGGAGAGGAGGCAAGGACGTACACACCGAGAAACTTCCTGGTCACCGTTACTCAGCACTTTGTGAGGTTCACGGGGCTGGGGGTGGCCGGGGCGTGGCGGGACTTTTCGAGGAATCCAGCCCTGCCTGGGCGGTCCCAGGACTGTCCCCATCTCGAGCGTGGGCGCGTTCGATTCAGGCGCGGCGGACGCATCCCCAGGTGACCTGGGAAGGACCTTGTGTCTCTGGGGGTGACTGTCCGTCTCCCTGCCTCCCACCGTCACGCGCAGCGCTGATCCCCACTTCCAGCTGGGGCGCGAGCTAAGGTTGGAGGCGCAGGAGCCGAGGCCCTGGAGCTCCGCCCCACGCTTGCGCCAGCCCCGCCCCGATCCCGGCTTGCAGGCTCCAGGGGCGGGGCGTGGCCGGGGCGCAGCGGCGGGCGCGGAGGTCCGGGCGGGCGCGCGCGCCCCCGCCACACGCACGCCGGGCGTGCCCGTTTATAAAGGGAGAGCAAGCGGCGACTCTACAAGCTCGGTCTAGTGCTTTGGATCCGTTTCCATCGGTCATTACAGCCGCTCCTCAGACCCCAGCAGCAAAGATGGTGAAGCAGATCGAGAGCAAGGTACGCGCTCCCGGGGAAGGCCGGGGCGCCGGCGCCGCAGGCGGCCTCTGTAGCTGGGGAAGGCGGTGGCGGGAGATGCGGAGGCCGCCCCTCTGCATCGCCGGGGAAAAGGGACGCGGCGTCTCGGCCTGGGACTGAGGGAAGCAGCGGCCTGGGCGCGCCCAAGGCGGTGAAGCCTGCCCTGGTGGAAGGGAAGAGAGGGACGAGGGTCCCCTGGAGGGCGGAGTGGCGGTATCCAGCGTTGCCCGCCCCCTGTGCCCCGGGGGGTTGCACGCACGCGGGGAGCGCCCGGGAGATGTGAGAGCGCGGGCAGCGTGAGGAGCCCCCACGCTGCCCTTCTTGCACCCTCCCGTCTGGGCAGCCCCGACTGGAGGAAGGTGGGGGAATAGAAGGGGTCCGCCCTTGGCCCCCTTCTGTATCCAGATTCAGGCCCTAGGCAAGGATAGAGAGGGCCCCTTGCAGAAGGCACGGGTCACTGGCCGCCGCTGCCTTTCCGTATGCGAAGTGATTCACCCGCAGCGGGTGTAGTGATCTCCCTTGGGAGCTGGTCTAGGCCGGAGACCCCCGGCTGCTTCCACCCATTCCTGGCCCCAAAGGTGACGCGTGCTGTATCCGCACTAAGGAGGCGGATTGCGGCTGGAGACCCCCCTGGCACGTGCAGGTCTGGCCAGGAGGCCAGAGGGCCCCAGGTGACCGCGAGGAAGTGAGGTCCGGGCCGCGCCCACGGGACTCCTGTGGCTCAGGGCGTGTTTCCGGCAGCAGTGGCTTTGGAATGACTCAGTCCCCAAGGTTGGGCCCGGGGGCCTCGGCTGCCCTGCCCGTCCGTGATTCACCCTCAGTCGGTGGGTTTTGCTGGAGCCCGGGTTCCTCCTGGGTGCAGCCGCGCCCTGCTGCCTGCTCGCCGACCTATCGGTATCCTGATCGATGTTTGTCCTCTTAAAAATGCCCAAGGCAAAACAGACTTCCCATGTTTGAAAGTTATTGCAAGCCTAAAACCTTCTAGACTGGGAAACCCAGAGCCTAACACGCAGTGTCTGATGTAGCCATTCCAGGAATATTTGTTAAATGCAGCGTCAGAAAAGTGAGTGGAGGAAATTGATACTGCCCGAACGGTAGAAGACCCCTCGCCAGCGCCTACCCTGCGATTACCCCTCCCCACCCGCGGGAAGCAGGGGAGGGCGGATCCTCGCCCGCCTTGAGTGCCCTGACCTGTTTGGTGCCGGGTGGGCTTCGGAAACAGAAGTGTGTCTGCAATGTGTCCCCGATCCTTTTGTGCCTTTGATTGTTGACTCTCAGTATTATTTTCCTCGTATGTTGATTGCCACTGTAGTCTTTTATCTTCCTCTTAATCAGTATTTTCTTAGTGGGATTCTCATTTTAGCAGCCCTCATGTGTTGAAAAGATCCTTAGTAGTGAATTGTCTTTCATATACTTTTTTCCAAGCACCTATTGTGTGACAAATTTTAGTCCATTCCTGGGGAAGGGAGTGGGGCTGGGATTCTGTTCTCCAGGGTCTGGCAACCTCAGTATAACCGAACTGCTGAGAACCCCCTCCACGGAGCCAGAAGACCTTTGAGTGGTCTATGTTAGTTGTCACAGTATCCAGCTACTACAAACAGAAAGTTGATTAGAATTTCTGGAGCACAGTTTAGTCCTCCCAGTTGTCAGAGCATGGTGGCACCTTCCTCTTCTACCAGTGACAAAGGTGTACAAGGGTGACAGGAACTTTAAAAAAAGCACTACAGCCTGGGGCCCACAGGCCCTGATAATCAATCCTCAAAGTAACAATCCAAAGTCATTGATCGAAAGTTACACTAATTTGATTGTTATTTGTTAGTTTGTTTTTTGAGACGGAGTTTTGCTTTTGTTGCCCTGGCTGGAGTGCAGTGGCTTGATCTTGGCCCACTGCAACCTCCACCTCCCGAGTTCAAGCGATTCTCTTGCCTCAGCCTCTTGAGTAGCTGGGATTACAGGCATGTGCCGCCACGCCCGGTAATTTTGTATTTTTAGTAGAGACGGGGTTTCACGATATTGGTCAGGTTTGTCTCGAACTCCTGACTTAAGGTGATCCACCAACCTCGGCTTCCCGAAGTGCTAGGATTACAGGTGTTAGCCACCGCGCCCAGCCTGTTATTTGTAAATGTTGAATACATCTTACGTTTTCATCCTAATGGGCTAAATTGGCATCATTGGTCATTGAGAACAATTCTGTTTCTGAGGTAGTCTGTTAGTACGTTAGGGCCGACTGGGATCTATTTCAGAGAGGAATGGAATAATTGATTGTAAATGTGATGAGGAAGAAATAAACTTTAAAAAAAAAAGAAGAATGACACCTACCATTTATTCAACTCCCATCCACAAGGCACTTGGCTAAATACTTCAGAAACCACTCACACTTACTACCTTCAGAGTAGGTATGTTTAAGCAAAGAGATCTTAGACTCTGCTCCTATTTACCCCAACTACATTGTTTTGCTTCCCCCAGATTATTGGTGTCAGTGATGGAGACATTTATTAATAGTAACTGTTAGTTTCTGTGAGCTAGAAACTGTTAGTTTCTGTGATTTCTTCTTAGTAATATACTCTTGAATAATTTTCAAGCTGATACCCGTTTGGAAGTATCAGAAGAGAGCTTGTACGTGAAGCCTGCACATACCTGGGGTGTAACTCATGTTCATTTAGGCTAAAAGTTATTGTTGCATGCCTCTTTTCAGAATTTTAGGTACTTGTGTTTAAATTTGATTCAGAACTGTTTTGGAAAAGCCTTGAGTATGTTTGAAATACCTTCCCTCTTGAAAGTAATCTGAAGTTTTCAATGAGGGTCAATCATGTTAAAAAAACAAAACTGTCTATTCCAGACGTTGGCATTTCTTGACCTTTTTTCCTGTCTCACCTGGATCTTGCAGTAAAGGATGCTTGGTTTAACTTTCTTGAAAATCACATTAGGGAAGGCTTTGAAAGAAATTGATCTGGAACAATCAGTGATGATCTGGAAAAACAATTGCTACACTTCTAATGTACCCTGCTGCAGCCCTCCCCATGTCTCCATCTCTAGGGGTGGGGGTGAGGGATTTGCATAACTGAAAAATTTATGGAAGTGTTGTCCTGCCTTTCTCAGGAACACCAATTGTGAATTTCCCAAAAACATGAGGTAGAAATTAGAAATCTAGAGAAGTAACTATTACTACCTGAGGTCACATTAGTGTTTTCTTGTTTATTTGGTTTTTTATCTTATGGTGTTTTATTTGATTTCTTTCTTTACAGGACCTCTTGTGGTGGCGAGGGGCGGGAAATGTTCATTTTTTATTAAACCTATTTGACCAGTGTTGTTTCCTTGAAGAAAACCTAGACTTCAGATAATAGATGTTTATGTTTTGATTTATCTTAATTGCTCTGGTTTGGTTTTTGGGTTTGGTCAGCACTAACAGACTAATTGTGGTCAAAATGAGTCCTTTGTTTTGGGGAGGCCAAGGCGGGTGGATCACTTCAGGTCAGGAGTTCAAGACCAGCCTGGTCAACATGGCAAAACCCCATCTCTACTAAAAATACAAAAATTAGCTGGGCCTGGTGGTAGAGGCTTGTAATCCCAGCTACTCGGGAGGCTGAGGCACGAGAATCACTTGAACCCCCGGGGCAGAGGTTGCAGTGAGCTGAGATCAGGCCTTTGCACTCTAGCCTGGGCAACAAGTGAAATTCTGTCTCAAAAACAAAACAAAACAAAACAAAAATGAGTCCTTGGTAACTAGAATATTCGGTTCCCAGGGTTACAGTATCTAGATAGTAAATAATTCAGGGAAGTTACTGGTAAGAGATTTCTTCATCATTTCTACTAAGAATTTTATTTAACAAGCATTCCTTATGAAAAACAATATCTAAGAAAAATTTCCTTCATGAGGAACTAAAATTTTCATTTAATGAATGATGAGGGTGTAGTTTTAAAATAAAGGGCAAAAATCAAAAGTTGGTAAACGTGTGATCTCAACTCTGGAAACCCCATTATGCTTATGTCAACAGTGATGTCTGAGTGTTGAGGTTTGGGGAAGGTTAGTTTCCTTGACTTTTCAAAAAATTTTAGATTTTCGTATGGTCTACCATAGACAAATGAGTTTAATCAAAAGTCATAGCTTTTTTTTTTTTTTTTTTTTTTTTTTGAGATGGAGTCTCCCTCTATTGCCCAGGATGGAGTGCAGTGGCACAATCTTGACTCACTGCAACCTCCACCTTCTGGGTTCAAGCTAGTCTCCTGCCTCAGCCTCCTGAGTGGCTGGGACTACAGGCATGAGCCACCACACCCAGCTAGTTTTTTTTGTATTTTTAGTAGAGACAGGGTTTCACCATATTGGCCAGGCTGGTCTCGAACTTCTGACCTAGTGATCCGCCCACCTCAGCCTCCCAAAGTGCTAAGATTACAGGCATAAGCCACCATGCCCAGCCAACTTTTTTTTTAAGTAACTTGTGATGTTTCAATTGCAAAATCCTATGTCTTTGTGACTTCAGGTGACCCCTTCATAATCCATAAGTGTTTAGTGAATGTCTACCATATACCTAGCCTTGACATGGAAACATTTTTAGTACAAATATCTATTTTTATTTTCCTTTTGTTTGGTGGAAAGAGAAATTAGCCAGTTCACAATATTTTATAAAATAGTCATGAAGACATGAATATCAGTGTGCTCTACACATTATATCTTGTTTCATCTTATCAAGTAACACTATCAACAATATATAGAATTTCTTCAAACGGAGTTTTATTTGGCTTGTTTGGGTTTTTTTTTTTTTTTTTTTTTTTTTGGCTAAAAAGTAGGTCCTGAAAGGAGGTCCTCCAAAATGTACTTTGTGTGATTGTGTCGAGTCTTTCTTTTGAAGGTTATTTAATATAAGCTTTTTTTGCTGTTAGGCTGCTTTTCAGGAAGCCTTGAACACCGCAGGTGATAAACTTGTAGTAGTTGACTTCTCAGCCACGTGGTGTGGGCCTTGCAAAATGATCAAGCCTTTCTTTCATGTGAGTATTAAACAATGTCTACTTTGTAAGAGATTTGTGTTTATGGGTTGGTGGTCACAAAGGTAGAAAAGAAAGACAGTTAAAGGATTTTGGTTTTGGTAGGGGGTTTCTTTGGCTGGATCATTGGTCTAGAAGCAGTAGTATAACAAATAATTTAGGTTTGATACATGTAGCCCATTGAAAATAAATTTTAGAAGTTAATTTTGTCTTAAATAGTTCTTTTTTTCCCACATTGAAACATGGGCCTTATTTGAAATCCCAGCCTCAGAGTTTGATATGACAAACTGTTTTATACTAGGAAAAATTTGATTTAGAGAAAATTTATGTCTCTTAGATCTATGTCTCCAAAGATTTAAATATTTGGATCTTTAATTAGTCTCTACTTTTATTAAGTTTCCATTTAAGAAGCTTGAGTACATTGATTGCCATTACCTAGTTCTAAATCTTTTTGGATTTTTCATTTAAAATTTTCCAGTCCCTCTCTGAAAAGTATTCCAACGTGGTATTCCTTGAAGTAGATGTGGATGACTGTCAGGTACGTAGCTGGAAATACGAGATACTACTGAGCTTTTCACATTGGCCTTTTCCTCTGAATTGCACAGTGCTTTTTTCCATAAATATGTCAAATAATTCTAGAACTGTAATCCTATCTAAAAAGTTCTATCTCAGAAAAGCAGGTAAGTTAGGAGCTTAATCCTAGCTATCAGGAGCTGTATATCACATCCTAAAGTAAACAAAAATAAATCAGTGAGACTTCTGAATCTTATCGGCCACCCACCTTTCTAAAACCCTACGTTCTACTTTACACTCTGAGATGCTCAATAAATAGAGATTGAATTTAGCTATGATCATTACATCCATAGGCTTGATAGAGTCACCAAATTATGAGACCGCTTGTAGGGCTCTTCGTGAACTTGCAGTAGCGTGAGACCCTGCATTTGCAAGCCTATTCTAGTCTTGGTTGATTTTTGTCAATTAGAAACCACAAATGTTTTAACAGATAAACACCAAGGTACCTGAGAGAATAATTTGGAAGAAATTCCAGGTTTGGTTTTATTTAATGAATACTTGTTTTGCCCTAGGTATATGCCAGGCACTATTCTGGGTAGTTTTTAAGTATCAGTTCATTTAATCCTGAGTGCTGTTATCATCCCCATTTTATAGATGAGAAAACTGAAACACAGGTTGTTCATGAAGTTTCAGTGAGTATGTGGCTGAGCTAGGATTTAAAATGAAGTGGTCTGGCTTCTCAGCTCTTGACCTTAAGCACTACCCATTAGAGGATGCTCTGTCTTATGGTGGGTATAGATCCGGTGCTTAGCACATGACCGCTGACCTAGGAGAGCCTGTTGAAGAGGTATCACTTCGGGGCCCTTTGCAAATAAGTGAGCATTTTCACTTAGCCCCAGTGGAGAAGGAAAGGCAATGGGGGAGGGGTGCAGTGTGGCAACAGAGGCGCTGGACCTGGCTTCCAGTCCTGGCTCACTGGCTTCTGCTTTTAGGCCAGTCACTCTTCTTCCTTGAGCCTTAAGACCTGTCACATCAATCACCCAAGGTTGCTTATTCATTGAGCAAACATGGAATGTCCAATAAAGGCTGAAGGGTCACTTAAAACAGGCATATGGCAGTGCTCTCTAAACATGGGAGGGCACAGCAACCCCAGATTGCATATTCTCAGCCAAATTTTGACTCTGTGCCTTGGGCAACCCCTGCCTTGGCTTATGCTGTCTCCTCCCTCTGGTCTGTCCTTTTCTTTCCTACCTAACTCCTTGTCATGAGCTTCACCCCTTCTCCACTTACCCCCTTGTGTGCCCTAAGTACTCATTGAATCTTGGCAATTATTATAATGATCTTTATGTCTGTCCTTTACCATTAGTCTCAGTAGATTCCTAGGATCAGGGTGGGACCCTGTCTTAATTCACCTTGGTTTCCCCTTCACCTAGCACACCTGCCTTGCATTTAGTATAGGTATAGAATGAATGATGAATGTGGTATGGTTGTTAAGTTACTGTTCTAGATGTGTCCCAGAGTTTTTTTTTTTTTTTTTTTAAAAAGAGCGTAATTGCACTTTTGTGGGGGAAAAAAAGTCCTTGTTCCTTGTTTTAATCAAACTTAGTCTTATTTCTTCTATTAAGGTCAATTTAGCTAGGGGAAAATTGCACCTGGAGTAGAGAAATTCTAACTGCCACTGATCCTATCAGATAACAACTTGATTTTTTTTTTTTTT